ATATATAATATAATAATAATGAATAATTTTTTTTAATTCCTTGAAAAAAATAAATATTATAATTTTTAAACTATAATTTTTATAATTATAACTATTACTGCATTATTAATATATAATAATATATAACAATTAATAAAAAATATATTATTTTTTTATTCTATTAATAACTTATAATAATTGACAAAGTTAATACATGTATTTATGAAAAAAATAAAAATATTGTTTAATATATTTATAATATATTTAGTTATATAAAGATATCAAAATATCAAGAATTCAATAACAATTTCATCAACAAAACTTTTTTTCTAAAATATTCTGATATAATTTTTCCATTTAAATTTAATATTACAGTAAGATTTTTACTTTTTTTTTCAATTATAAAACAGATTAAAAATTTACAAATACATACTTTCAATAGCTTGTTTAGATCGTTCCATAAAAATAGTACCAGCACAAGGATGTAATGATGGATCTGAATCCCAGTCTTCTGGTTCACGTTCACTAATATGTTGTAAATTATTAACACTAATTCCACCTTCAGGTAGATGTTCCTCAAGACCTCGTGTAACACCTTCAGATCCTAATTCTTTACGTCCAACTTGAGGACTAGCATAAACGCAGCAACTACTTTTATTCCCATTCTTTCAAAGGATTTGTTGATGTTTTTTTTTCTGTTTCTATCTCTAATTGAAAGTTTATAAAATATAAATAAGACTGTAATACTCAATACTACAGAAATTATATGGATGGTATAATTTAAAATTTCTCTTGACACATCCTTCACATATTGTTTTTAAATGACAATCAGCTGATAAAACTATTGGCAATATGAATATACATTCTTTCTTTTCTTTCATCCACATTGATACTTGAATACATTATATATAATCAAGAAAAAAATATTTGCATAAGATTATACATAAAAATTAAGATTAAAAAATTTGAAAATCCACTTCAGGAATGAACGTAACTAATAATATATAAATGTCTATTATATTGACAACGCCTTTATGCACGATTTGTGTCGATTGATTTATTATTTAAATCTTCGGTCAAACAAATTTTGTTTCTGCTCGTATACACGAGCTTTGATATTTTTTGTTCTTGTTGTATGCCATTCTCATTATTCCTACACATTTAATGTGATTATTTCAATATTTTTATGTGTTTATCACATGCCGTCTTTAGTCTACTGTTTTGATATTGCATATTCATACATAAACTATAATGTATATGTATAGAGAGACTTCAACTTTTATTTTGTATGTTTTCATTGGCTTATGATAAAAAGAATTTTTTATTTTTTACAAAATTTTTAATGCATATTATTTTATTATTAGTCAGAAATTAGATAGAAAATAGAATTTTAAAAAAATTGAAATTTATTTAATTTTTTCTTATATTATTTTGTAGTTTAATAGATTTAAAATATAAAATATAAATTATAATATTTTCTTATATAAAGAAAAAATATAGAGAAAGAAAGAGAGTGAGAGAAAAAGAAAGAGTGATATTTCAAAATAAAAATGATGCTTTACATACAATATATTATTATTACTAGAATACTACTTTATACTATATTGTTATTTATATTTTTATTTTATTATATTTCTAAATTATAATATATTTCTAGTTTAAAAATAAATTTATCGTTAAATAGAATAATAACATTTAATTTTATTTCTTTCAAATATTTTGTTATATTTTATTTTTATTTAAATACGATAAAATAAATTTATTTAATCACTATATATTTTTCAAATCAAAAATATAATAATAATTTTATTTTTTAAATATATTTTAAGATTTCAAAAAATTTTTTAATTATAATAAATTAGTCCCAAAATTTAATATTATATAATTAAATACAATTTACAAAATTATTTAAATAAATTATTATAGTATAAAATAATATTTTAATACATCAAAACATTGTATGTTTTTTTTATTATATTATATTTGTAACAATAAAATAAAAAAAATAATAATTAACAAGTTTATATAAGAAAAATGAAAAATATAAAATTATAATTTTCTTTTATGTAATTCGTATATTATGCATTGCAATAATTAAAAATATAGCGTTTACAATATACGCATGCGTATTGATTAATAAAATTTCAAGGTAGTTTTTAATTAGCTACATGACATTATATTCGCTTAAAAAAAAGTGTCGTAAAGTTTTTAAAAACAACTATACATCATTATTGGTTTCTATATTTTAATCGGTCTTATATATACATATATATTATACATATGTGTATGTACACACATATATATATATATATATATATAGATATGATGAACTCTGCTTATTAAGTTAATTGAAATAAAAGTGCGCGATGGTACAAGAACTTGAAGTTAAAAACAGGAGGTTATCTATCAACAAAAAGACCGCCATAATTGATTGGATTGATTATGTTGATCCATCGATAAAATACGATGAATTTTTTTCTAAATATTTAATGGAAAATAAACCTTGTATTTTTAAATCAAATATAACAGAAAATTGGTCGTGTAAGAGACAATGGAATTTAGATGGTACTCCAGACTTTGATGTTCTTGATATATTATTTGGTAAATTAATTATGATTATATATTTTAAATCATTTATATGTATATTAAATTATATAAAAATTTTTTTTTATAGGAGATTGTATAGTGCCAGTTGCAGATTGTAACAAAAAATATTATAATTCACAATCTAAAGATGATATGAAAATGAAAGATTATTTAAATTATTGGATAGATTATGCAAAAAACAATTATTCAAATTCTATGCCACTTTTGTATTTAAAGGATTGGCATTGTCCAAAATTATTTCCTAATGCTCCTATGTATACTGTTCCTGAATATTTTGCATCAGATTGGTTGAATGAATATTATATTGCAAATCCTAGTTTGAATGATGATTATAGATTTGTTTATATGGGACCAAAAGGGACATGGTACATATTTTTTAAATATCAAATTATTAATTTTAAATATTATATAAATAAGAAAAACTAGTTTTTACTATAGGACACCATTACATGCAGATGTATTTGGATCCTACAGTTGGTCTGCTAATATAGTTGGAAAAAAACGTTGGTTACTTTTCCCTCCAGGTCAAGAAGATTTTCTGAAAGATATACATGGACAATTAACATATGATGCAACATCAAAAGAACTTAATGATTATACAAGATATAAGGCCTATGATAAACGTGTATTAAAATATATTGATATAATCCAACAGGAAGGAGAAATTATATTTGTACCATCTGGATGGTATCATCAAGTTTGGAATATAGTGAGTACATTTAATTATAATTATTTTTGTTAAAAAATTTCCTATTTATTATAATATTTATTTGTAGGAAGATACAATTTCTCTTAATCATAATTGGATAAATAGTTGTAATATTATGAATGTGTGGCATGGATTAAAAAAAGAATTAAATTCTGTTATAAAAGAAGTTAGTGATTGTAAAGATATGAACAATTGGGCAGAACATTGTCAATTAATATTAAAATCAACATATGGAATGGATTATAATTTATTTTTTGATTTCTTAACATTTATTACTAAACAACGTTTAAATATGGTTTTAGACAAAGAAGATGTAATAAGTTTTAATAAATATAAGCTTGGATTTAATCATTGCATATTTGATCTTCATTCAATAAAATTGACATTGATAGATTTTATTAATGATATGGAAGAAAAATCCATTTATTATTTAATTTGTGAAAAACAACAAGCTCATAAATTGTTAAACAAAATTTTATTATTTCTTCAATCACATGATTCAACTGAAAATTTATCTACATGATAAAAGATATAAAAATTAAAAATAAATAAAAAAATTGTTTTTGTGTAAATATTATGTAAATATTATTATATATTATGATATATATAATGATGTAAATAATGTAATATATACTATGATTTTTATATAATTCTGTAAATATTGAAAATACATAAATTATGAAACAAAAATTCTTTTTTTCTTTATTTTTTTTTCTACTTTTATTAATTACTATTAAAAAAAAAGTATATTATAAATATTATAATGCACGTAATAAAGATTAAAAATATAAAACTCCAAAAGGTAGACAACAATATTTCTAATTAAATAGTTCTAAAATTTAAAATATTATGTTTATATTAACTAAATTTTATTATTTTTCACTTAAAATATAAATAACATAAATTAACTGAATTATTTGAGTTAAAAAAATTATAATTAATATATGTCATGTTAGTAATAATATCCCATAGTAAATAGTATATATAATCTTTTATTTATAATTTTAAAAATATTTTATTTGTTTATTTAAAAATGTTTCAACATCTAAATATAAGGATATAAATATAAAAATACGACAGTGTATTAAAAGAAATATGACCTATAAATTTTTGAACATTTTATTAAAAAATTTCAGTAAATTGTTTTGTCAAATAATTAGATAATTTTTATTAATTTTAATTCCAAGAATATGAATTATTTTTAAATAATTTATATTAATGTAAAATATCTTTACATTTAAAAAAAAATAATATTTTTTAAATTAATTATTTTGCTAATATTATTGCTTTATAAAATGCAAAATTCTAATATACTATATTCAACAATAATATAATCTTTTTATGAATATCTCTTATTTTTTTATGGGAATTTTAAGTACTAAAATAATAAATGTCTATAAATCTTTTTTATATTGTCTTATGTCTTACAAATTATGTGTGCATAAATGTCTATATATATATATTTTACAATTATGCACAATTTATAATTAATAAAAATATACAAAATGTATAAGATATATATATTATCATTAATATATATATATATATATATAATTGTAAAAACTTATTAGCATTCAGTGAAAAATGTGTACATAGCACATTGTTTTTTTTAAATCAATAAAATAAAATTACAAAGTAAATTATGCAAGATTATAATGTCACATTATTATTATAAAATATCTTTAAATTATATTTTATATAAACTCTCTCCCTCTCTCTCCTTCTCTCTCTCAATTTTGTATATAATTACGAATTGATCACTTTTCAAATACGATATATAAGAATTTGCTTATGCAATTAATTGAAAAAAAAAAATACAATAAAAATAGATATATTATGATACTTATATTATTTCTTATATATATTATATATTATATGTATAAATTTCATTTATAATATACTAAAAAAAAAAAAAAACTATTATTACATAAAGGAATATTTTGTTCCATGTGAAAATAATAGTTACAAATTCTATACTTAGTTTGATTTTTTAATACATATACATATATACAGATATATTTTCAACTTAACATACATTTTGTTTATGAAAAAATAATTTTTATCAATTCATTTTGAATGATTTCATGAACAAAAAAATTAATTATTTTAATTCAGTGTCATACAAATTTACAAATTCATCACATATGTTTGTTTTAAAATTTAAAAGTTCATCGAAAAGTAACAAAAAATATCTTCTATGAAAGAAGTTAATATATTTCTGTATGTTCTATTAAAAATTTATATAAAATATTGCACTGATGATACATTTGAAAAAAAAAGTATCTATATGTTATTTTTCATGTTAAAAGAAAAAGATTGTCATGGATAAAAGGTATAAAAAGGGCATATTACTTTAAATTATTTCCATATAAACTAATTTTCGGATGAAAAATAAGCAAATATAATTATGTATTTCATTATTTACACACACGCACACATGCATACATACTATTGCATTTTCTCATAATTTTTTTCATAATTTCATATAGTATCAATGTTTGCTTGCATGGCAAGTACCTCTATTAGGGTATCACGTCTCACAAAGTCTTCTTATTAATTACCAACAATTAACACTGTTACAAAGATTAGACTCCACGCAACGTGATTTTGTATCAATTATCGAATGATCCTTTTTTATACCTATATAATAGATACATATTTTTCATTTTCACATCTCATACATTTTTAACATTTCTTGTGGAAATAGGAAATGGAATTGCACTCTAGAATAAACATCACAAAAATATTAAAGTTAAATGATAAATTCTTGCTATTTTTAATAGAAAGAATTTTTATGAAATTTATATAATATAATAAAAAATCATAATATTTGAATGAATTTTATGTACCCATATGTACGTACCTATTTGTATATCTTCTTTAGATGAAATGAATTACTTATAACAAATATGATGAATAATATTGAAGCATGTATA